ATTAGTACTTCTCTATGGGACTGCGCGGCCGTACGCCCCCCCTACGCTCACCTCAAGCGCAGGTCCGTAGGGGTGCGTACGGCCGCGCAGTCCCATAGAGAAGTACTAATCACGCGCAGCACCTGTCCTTCCCGGGAGCTGCTCGGCACGGCCGTGCACGCAGCTGTACGTGCCGGCCGATTCCAGTGTGAATGAGGCCTTCAGCTGTTAATTTTTGAACCGACTCCTTTGACAAAAATTGAGTGGGTGCGCCACTGTCAGAATACCCGCAAAGTGACTGCAGCTGATTGACTGTTCAGCTGCAAGTTTTTCTTCTTCAACAAATTTTTGCTCCTTCGACAAAAGTTGATTGAAAAATGGAAGGGTGCCCACAAACGGAGGGGTGCCCGTGGGCTACACACTGCTTGCATTGCATCAAAGTGCATGTTACAAACCACAGCAGCATGCATGCATTACGCACACACGTTTTGGTGTGAATGGGTCCTTAGTTGGGGATCGCAACACTTCATTTGCTGATGTGTTAAAGGTAACTTACCATTCCATGAACTCTCCTTCCCCTCGGCCGGTACGGGTGTACCTGTACTCTGTACTGCCATCCAGCACAGCTCTGCGCTATGGATTTTACATTTCACTCGCATATAGTGAACAGTCACCTGACTGTGTTAACCAATGAGAAGCGCTTCTTAGCAACTCCATGTACCAATGGAGGGGAAGGAGCGTTCGCCGAATGGTAAGTATAGGGGGGAGAAGGGGCTGAATTTAAGCGGGTAATTCCATTTTCCCAAATTACTTAGGAAAGTGGACACCGTTTAATCTGTGTATACATGTACTAATGGTATCTATAAATACAGTGGTACCTCGGTTCACGAACGCCTCTGTTTGGGAACAATTTGATTCGCGAACAGCAAGTTCAGCAAAATTTTTCTTCCATTCGCGAACTCTGCCTCGGGTGACGAACACAACCGCAGCCATCTTTCCTGCTCTGACACATTGTTGTGGCTTCCTCTAGTCGAGATCGCGGTCTGATCACAGTTTGATTCGGTTCGCAACCAGAATCGTGGAACGAATTCAGTTCGTGAACCGTGGTATCACTGTACAAGAATCATGAGGGTGCACTGTAGGATGAGGGCAGTGGTACAGTACTGTAAGAGTACTGTACATTGAGCGTTCCCAAAAAACAATGCTGCATGCATTACATAGCGAATGATAAGCTTGCTGGCAGGACACGGTGTCCCTACCTCTTGTGCTGAGTCAAAGGCCAATAGCCTTGAGATTTTTGGGTAAAATGGGAACAGCTGTTAAAGCATTTAAACAAACAAACAAACATGTTTATATTTATTTTTTTCTTTTAGTTAAAGGGAAACAATAATAGTTTGGGGTACATTTTTTTGGAATTTTGGGTGTTTTTTTGTTTTGAGTACTTTTTTAAACTCATTTATTACCCATTTCTATTAAATCTTAATTTTACAAATTTAACACAAGCTGCACCTATGACACCGATGTCACAGGGAATTATGGGTTATAGACTTGTTGTTTTTTTGGTTTTAGACTTTTTCTCTATAACTGAGTGTACAGAGCAAGGGATTTGGATGTGGGGGGTTTGAGGAGTCACTCCTCGGGCACATTGAGCTATGTGGGGGTCGCACTAGGGTTGCCATCTTTTTTTCTAGCGAAACCCGAACACTCTAGCGACGGGCGGACATTTTATTGGGAGAAGGAGTCATGGCTTATTCATATGTAAATAGCGCCACCCATTCATATGGAAATATCACAGTTGAGACTATTTTCAGTGGGGGGCGGGGGGGGGGGCAGTAGCCCCTATCTTAATTTTGGTTGCCCCTGTCTGCCTGACATCTTGTGTCTGGGTTGCTGCTGCCTTGAAACCCGGACACAGCATTCATAACCTGGACTGTCCGGGTGAATTCTGGACAGGTGGCAACCCTAGGTCGCACATTGAATATCACTAGAAAGGGGAGTATTTTACAAGGTTGTCTGCACTCAGGGGTTAATTAAAGACAATTGTACCAAAGCTATAGTTGTCCATTAAATGTCTTCCTTCCCTCTTTCCTTTCAAGCCTATCTGTCTGTGTGCTTGGAGAGCTTCTGTTCAGGCCCGGCGCTACCGCAAGGCAAGTCAGGCGGCCGCCTGAGGGTGCTGCAGGGTGAGGTAGGAAAAAACAGGGCATTTTGACAAGTACTTGTCAAAATGCCCCGATGTTTGCGCTATGTTTTTTTTTTTTACTTACCTTCGGTGCGGAAGAGCAGCGGCGAGCGGCACGGGAGAGCAGCGGCGAGTCAGCGATGGTCCAGTGGGAGGAGCTCCAGGTGGGGTCCTAATTTAGCTGGCCGGCGACTGCCAGAGGATCCCGACACGCACGGCACCTCTGGTAGTCGCCGGCCAGCTAAATTAGGACCCCACTCACCCTTTTGTGAATACCACTGTAGGTGTTTGAATTTGTAGTATGTGGACATTTACGTGCAATAATCCCATATTGTTTTTATTTTTGATGTAAGATTATCTCAAAACAACGCAAGTCTTAAATGCAAAGCTGGCCTCCATAGCCCGTTATCTCATTTAAATACACATCACCTGTTGTTCTTTCTCCATTAGAGCACAAATCTGATTACCATAAAGACCCTTTGTACATTCCAATGGTGATCTATCCTCCTTGTCAATGAAGACTAACAAAAATATATACATTGTTCAGGCTTTTGTCTGGTTTGGAGGACAGTCTATCTTATGGAACCAGCTAGCACCGTTCTTTTCTCCTCCATGGATGTCTACCTATTTTGTTCTGACATAAAGATGTTTCAAATTGTTATGCTACCCTTAACCTTCCTTTCAACGTATAAATTCTTAATTTGTGAAGTGTCTCTTTTTCTTATTTCTAAAAGGTGGGAGGTAACAGGTATACTTTAATGCCCTCTCCCCAGAAGCCCATAGCATTCCTTGTAGGGTTGCCACCTTTTCTCCCAGCGAAACCCGAACACTCTAGCGACGCACGGACATTTTTGGGGGGGAGAATGAGTTGTGGCTTATTCATATGTAAATTGCGCCACCCATTCATATGTAAATATCACAGTCGAGGCTATTTTCAGTGGGGGGCCAGTAGCCCCTATCTTAATCTTGGTTACCCCTGTCTGCCTGACATCTTGTGTCCGGGTTTCAGCTGCCATGAAACCCGGACACAGCATTCAAAACCCGGACTGTCCGGGTGAATCCTGGACAGGTGGCAACCCTAATTTCTTGCCCCATTGCTCTTTTCAGCTTCTATAGAGGAAGGAAGCACTGTGTAAGCTCTGTGTCCCGTTAATCAAAAATTATACATGGCTGAGTACTCAATCCCTTGTGCATGCAATAGGCCAGTGGTCCTCAACCTGTGTAAACTCGGGACTCACATTTGTCCTTGGTCACTAAAGGAGAACTATGAGGTGAGTGAAAATCACTCATCCTCATAGTTCGAGCCGACGCCTGACAATGAAACTGTCACAGGTCAGCACAACAGATCGGGAAGTGAGCGAACACATACCGTCACTCGCTCACTCCTCGATCATCTCCCTGCAGAGAGCCGTGACTGTCAGTCACGGCTCCCTGCAGAGATTCCCCTCCCTCCCCTGTCCAATCCTCCAGCGCTGACTAGAGGAACGGACGAGGAGGGGGGTACAGCTGGCTCTGCCTCTAGATAGGCAGAAACAGCTGTCACTCACGCAGCTGGGCGGATCTCAACAGTAATGTCGGGATCCGTCCCGGCTGCAGCGGTCTCAGTATACAGCGAGCTGTAGCTTGCGATATATTGAGCTTTGGATCACGGGAGGAGGCTAGTATATGTCCTTAAGAGAACTATGGGAAAAACACTTACCCCATAGTTCTCCTTTAAGTCACGACCCAAGTCGCACTGCAATGAAACATACAGCATTAGGGCACCGCTAGTTCCGGTGGAGGCGTACGAATTGTGGATGGGAGGTGCATTTGGGGTACCATTCATATGAATCGCAACGCAACACACCTTCCACACCAGAATGCATGGTAGGTGCGATTGCGTGGTATAGTTTAACGCACTGTAGGAATGTGAACGGGCCCCCAAAAACACTGACATACATACACAGACACAATCTCACACACCATCAGACATTCTCACACACAAATGTTTTATTTTTTTTAAGGTCCACCCAGTCTCCCTACCTTATGCGAACTGGAGTGGATCCTTATCCTGGGGTCCAGTGTGGGCTTCTGTGCTGTGACGGAGCCAGAATGTGACATAATTCAGGTCCAGGCACCCGTTATAGAACACGTGAGGGAGCTATAAGCAATGCATGTATGGATGGAGCTCCCTCACGGCCATAGCCCCAGCCCACCCCACCTCAAGCTGACACACATACGCTGGCAGCATATTTTGGATGGCTGCTCGGCATGAGACCTGTCAGTGCTGCACTAGGGGGAGGCTGAGGATCCTCTCACCTAAAAAAGTGGAAGACATGCTGTGACCCAGTGTTCAAAGGACCCACTTTTGGGTCATGACCACCAGTTGAGAACCAAGGCACTAGGCCAAGCACCAGCACTGTCAAATGAGAGGGAAGGAAACGAGTCACATGCTCCTTTATACCTGGAAGTACCAGATATTTTCTTCACACCGTTTGGTTGAGTGGAGCACTCTGGGAGATGGTAAGGTGGGTATGTGCTGCTGGGGACGGGGACATTAAAGAAAACCTGTTATTTTGCCCTACTAGTTTGCTTTAAAGTATCTTGCCCTTAAGATGACCCCCATACGACTACTATTTCTGTAGGTTACACTCAGCTGTCTCATAAAACTCAGCAAGTATTTCAGGCATACAGGTATTTTTATAGCGTTCTTGTCGGATTATCCTAGCAGAAAATATTTCCTTTCCCTAACCGAAACAAATTATCCATTGTGCTGGTTTCAGCTGTGAAAACCATTTCCTCCGTAGGTGCCGCTGTCTGCCTGGAAGATTCAGACTCCATTTGGAAGTAAAATACCAGTGTGAGGAACGGCCATGATGGAACAGTCAATACCGCTTCTAGCGCTCACACTCCTAAAGATGGTGGCAGCCGTGTATAACGAAGGTGAATGACTTTCCCTTTCTTTTAACTTTCCACTGTTTCGGTATTTTATTGATTTTGAATCCATTTGCAGTTTTCACACTTCAAAACATTCCTTTCACCTTTGCCATTTGAATTCTGGGACAAGACACCGGAAAGTTGCTTTTATACTTTATTTAGGCAAGAAAATTTAGATCCTAAAATAATGGATATGGAACGTATTTGCTAAGATGGTTCAGTGTCAGAGGTTTGGTTTAGTGCAAGGTGAAAGATTATGTTTATGGGTTAGGTTTAGGGTTAAGTTTATGGTATAAGCTAAGGTTGAGGGTTTGGGGGTGGATTCGAGGGTTAGGTTTATGGGATAAGCTAAGGTTGAGGGTTTTTGGGTTGAGTTGAGGGTTAGGTTTATGGGATAAGCTAAGGTTGAGGGTTTAGGGGATTGGTTGAGGGTTAAATTTATGGGATAAGCTAAGGTTGAGGGTTGTTGGGTTGAGTTGAGGGTTAAGTTTATGGAATAAGCTAAGGTTGAGTGTTTGGGGGTAGATTCGAGGGTTAGGTTTATGGGATAAGCTAAGGTTGAGGGTTTTTGGGTTGAGTTGAGGGTTAGGTTTATGGGATAAGCTAAGGTTGAGGGTTTAGGGGATTGGTTGAGGGTTAAGTTTATGGGATAAGCTAAGGTTGAGGGTTGTTGGGTTGGTTTGAGGATTACGTTTATGGGATAAACTAAGGTTGAGAGTTTATGGGATGGGTTGAGAGGTAAGTTTATGGCATAAGCTAAGGTTGAGGGTTTATGTGTTGGGCTGAGGATTACGTTTATGGGATAAGCTAAGGTTGACGGTTTATGGGGTGGGTTGAGGATTAAGTTTATGGGATAAGCTAAGGTTGAGAGTTTATGGGGTGGGCTGAGGGTTAAGTTTATGGGATAAGCTAAGGTTGAACATTTATGGGTTGGGTTGAGGATTACGTTTATGGGATAAGCTAAGGTTGAGGGATTGTGGGTTGGGTTGAGGGTTGAGTTTATTGGATAGTTTGAGAGTTTATGGGTTGGTAATAAAAGATTTAAAAAAACACAAAACTTACAATATGAGATTTTGTATGCTCTCCTGCCCTACCACTCATTTTTCTGATCTTTATTTCCTTCTAGAGCTACAGTAGCTTGCAAAATCTTCATATCCAACACTTTTGATTTTTTTGGATGGCTGTGTCACCCTGCCACACGTTTTGGCTCTATCTGAAGGCCCCTACGTCACTATTATGCTCTGTAGTGACTATGTGGTCAGTGGATGGAACTACTGCAAGCGGTGGAAGACCAGGCATCCAAGATATCTGGAAGTACATTGGATGTCAAGATTCTTCCAGAGGCAGAGAATGAAGATCATATGGATGGGCAGGAGCTTTAAATTTAGGTGATAGATGTATGATAAGGTTTAGGGGGTTACAATGTATGTCTGGGCAAAAATGCAGTACATCTCTGCAATACATGAACATTTCTCCGTGTTGTATATCTGTAACAACCCTGCAAATATAGAGAAATACTTGTTGGCCTACTGAAAATGCACATGCAAAAATGCAGCTCGTAATTTTGTGTTCTGGACGGACACCACACAGGATTTTGTGCACTAAGAATTTATCAAAAATGTCAGCTTAGCTCAGTTGTCCTTTGCTAAACTCCCTCTCTCTTTACCTTCACAACATGTTATTCTACAGTCCAATAAAAAAAAAATGGGAGGGCTGATTAGATTCCTTCATATAACACAGGAAGTGTGCACAGGACACAGGACAGCTATTAATTTTTGACAGTTATTTTTTGCACTTATCCAAAAATGTGTTCAATTGTATATACAACAGAGCACAAGGGAGAAACTAAAGTGAATTAAAGAGTTAATTCTTAGGGCTTACATATAGCATATAGCTGGACGGATGCTGTTACACGGCACTAGCGCCCCTAGATAGTGCTGAGGAGTATAGGAATATACTTGTCAGCGCCATCTAGTGGCACAAGTGCTGTGCGAGTGGCAGAAGTCAGTAAGTGACTATTACTTTTCTAGCTTCAACTGAAGCCATAGAACATAAAGCAAATTGCCTTGTTCTTGCATTAGGATGGTGATAAGCAATGTCTTACAACACTACTGGTGTCACAGAGCCCTCGACGTAACATTATATCATGTGTTTTCGAAATGCTCACCAGCCTTCCCTGGTGGTCTAGTGGTTAGGATTCGGCGCTCTCACCGCCGCGGCCCGGGTTCGATTCCCGGTCAGGGAACAATACTTTTGATTTTTTTTTTTTTGTCTGTTGCTTCCTCGTATTGAAGCATGTATTTTTTTAATGTTCCTCTATTTTTAATGTTTGCGTGTTGCCCTTATTTTTTCAAAGGACAATGCAAAAGCATGCTGCCTAGTACTCCTTCCTGTCTATTTCCCAGTGCCGGAAGCCTCAGTGCTGATCTCGAAGCTCGGTCACATGACTCCCAGCAGGGTGCACGGCTGAAGAGCTTTGTATACATGACTGCGAGGCTTCCACGTTGGCTTCTAATCCTGGACTTTGTGTGACATTTCCTGTGCTCTTTGTTGCTGCCGACACCCTGCCGAGTTATTAGCTGATGGTTAAGTAAATTTCCAGCCACCGATGACTGAGGAAAGCTGGGGAAGCAGCATACCTTAAAGGATAAGTGCACTCTAAAACAAAGTGTACTTATCCTTTTTGCCCCCCCCCCCCCCCCCCAACCAAAACAACCCCCCACCA